AGGTATAGAGGATTCGACAGGAAATGATCAAGCGTATGATCTTGTAAGATCGTATAAAATCTTGTGACTTCTTATAAGGTCGTATAATTTCTTATACCTTCTTTGTGTAAGATCTTATAAGATCATAAAAGATCTTGTACATTCCTATGATAAGAAAAATCTTGTAAAATCTTATAAGAATCTTGCTACAAGATGTCATATGAAATCTTGTAAGATCTTATAGGAAATTGATAAGAATTGATAAGATCTTTTAAAATCTTATGATTTCTTATTATACGATCACCCAAGATTGTATATGATCTTGTAAGATCTTCCAAGATCTTGTTATCTAATCCTTGGACCTGGGTATTTTGTAGGCCAAACTTTCACTTAGAACTTACGATAACGGCTCCTTTGAGCGAATTGTCCTAATGACAACTGAACGACTGTAAGTATTAGTCACGGATGTTTTATAAGTATAGACAACTAATTACTTAATTGCGAGCATGAGACGAGTATTTTAACCTCTCTTTGAACTCGATTAGTGCTTGGCTAGCTTTAGGGCGCTCATTTTACTGCAGAAAGCTTTTTTGAGTGCGACTCTATACAGAAAAAACGCTCGTGTAACCTCAAATTTTGACTTTTTCAAAAAAACTTTTTTACCGAAGGATAGCCTGATGTTTGCTGATTCCGAATATGTACTTACATTTGAGTAGAAGTTGAATTTGGCATGAGAAAATCGAGCGTTTCCGAAATTACTCTAATTTTAGCCATATTTTTCCATCTAACTTTACTTCATAAGGAAAACACTTAGGACGAAAATTTTTTCGTCATTAAATTCACCATCGTTCATAGTATATATAATGCTATTAAAATGAGAGAAAAGTGAACTTACGTGTTTTGGCTAAATTCATATGAAATCTACCCACATTTTATCCGCAACAATTCCAGCTGAGAGACCGTGATATTCGGATCGGGCATATCGAGAAACCTTTTTCACCTAAGTTTGAGCTTAAAGGCAGACAAAAAGTTGCAATCGAAATTTTTACCTGAGGTCCCCCTCAGATGTTTTGCCTAAAATTTTGGACGAAAACTTTTTTCTCGAAACATATCGAATTATATATCATTCGATGCAGTTTTTTACGTAGATTCCGAATATCACATTGGTTTTGCACAAAAATGCTTCTGAATGTTTAAAATTTTTTTCACTTTTTCCGTTCTGCATATATAAGTTCGTGTTCACTGTGAAAAAGAGAAAATATATTTTCTTCTTCTCTCTTTTCTCTCTTCCCATATGGTAAAACACGTTCTTATTTGGAATAAGTGGATTTCTAGGCGGAGTCCGCCTAGAAGTCCACTGTATTGAGGGAAGTAATGCATTGATTACTTTTTATATATTGAAAGTACTCAGTATTACAGGCCTATGGTCTTTCACATGTCACGCGCGTAATCATCATTCATCAACATATTAAGAGTTTGCAGCAGGCTTTGTGATTTACGCACAGGGCGGCTTTTACATTGAGATTTCTAAAAGTACATCTATTTTGATCTATTTATAGTCATTACCATCTTTCAAAACAGTTATAATTACGAAACAATTTGAATGCTTAAATTTTATTACTGGTAAAGGCTTACAAGTTAAATATCGTTTTCCTCGTGATTATAATCATAACAAAAATATGGTGGTTGTTGAATTGACGTTTTCGAATAAAACAAATAATTTTATGAATAATATTTGTTTTGTTAAAATGGTAAAGTATCATTTATGTATTCTATTTTTGATCTGTGTTTATATTATTATCATTCTTTTATTTTAGCAGGAAGGCATTACAGTTGATCCGTTTTCAACAATTGAACGGCTCAAACCTAATGGTTCGGCTGTAACTATAATGAAGATTGATTTCAACGATAAAAATCAATCGTTTTCATTTGATATATCATTAGATAATAAACTAATACCAAATCTAATAATTAAATGTCAGGCAGGAGATTTAATTGAACCGAGACATTTGAATGAAGAAGAACTCACTCGACAAATAGGTAATTGCATAAAAAATGACAGTTATGTTTATTTATACATGTACAAACGTCCTCTTCTCTTTGGCAGATCGTAAAATTGAGATTAGTGAAACATTAAACGTTACAATTTTAAAGTCAAATTCTGATATAATGATACAAAATAGAATCTATGAATGTGCCAATGTAAAACTGTTATCTGAGTTAAGCGATTCGACTATGTATAGGTAAGTGAACGGAATCATTCATTTATTTTGCTCTATTGACTGGTATAATCTCGCATTTTTTTATTTTAATCGTTTGTGAAGCTCCTTGTTTACTTCAAGAAGAAGTGTAGGAACTGAAATGTAGAAATCTATAATGATTTATCGGCTGAACTCACTTAAATAAATAAGATTAAATCAAATGTAGACATAAGGATCATTTCGCTCTTGTCGAGGCTCACTGGATAATCAGACGGATGTTTACATTTTTAAGCTTCCAACTTCTGTAGATCTTGCATTATACATAAAGAATGGCATTGTCAAATGCAAAAGATAATCGTTCGTTTTGTAGAATACCTGTCAACTATTCAAACCGAACGGTACGGTTCTGTCTCAGATAGTCATTATGACAAAAAATATTTCGAATAAACGAATATCCATTTGACAGAATAAAACTTTAAATATTTGGTTGCATTGAGGACAATCCAGAACACCCAAATTATGTGCTGTTTCAACTTATCATATGGGGCATAATGGGACGTATTTATCTGAGTATTTTGACATGAACATTGATCAATTGATATTCAATACTGGTTCCCTCTCTGAACGATTTGTCTGATAGCTTTCTTTTTTTCTAGATTTTCCGGTCAAACAATATCCAATAAGGCAATTGTATTGATATGTGTACAAATAAATGAGTATGATTCATCAATAACAATAGCAGTTTATTGCCATCTTAAACCTCTCGCAAATGAATTATTAAATGACATTAAAAACGCATTTTCGTCATAAGATGTTGGCTTGTTAACACATTATTATACAGGTCATATTTGTTTTCTAAGGAGATATTAGAATCTCACTATTTTTCATTGTGCTGAGAAAGAATTTGTATGTAGTTCGTCTTGTGTTATGTGTATGTTAAAACTAGGCTATCCACTTTATTATTATTATTGTTGTTTAATGAAAGTATGTGTCATGTCTTATGTTGCTATATATGATAGTATATTATTTCAGTTCTGTTCTAGAATAGTATAAACACATGATTCAGAACCGTTTTGTTTACATTAAAATACTTCTATGTTTGGATATTCAAAGGAAAAATCTTGTTGACCATCAAGTGTCATCATTTCCACGGTCGAGCTATCTGCAGTCGCTATCTTTAGAACACAGAGTAATATGGTCGATTACTTTTTCATCAAACAGTGTTGAGAATGAGATAACAGTGATCCCTTTGTAATTATCTGCGTACAAGCAGATAATGTTACAAAATTCTCCGATACTATTTTTTTGATAAGTTAAGCTGGACATATGCTGTATCTGTATCTCTTCTAAACATCTGCTATCAAACCACCCAGTTAAGTTCTGTATCTTAACTGTCTAATTTTTCATTGTCTTTACGCAAACGACATTTTTTTCCCTATGTTTATCCGTATTTTCCATAGCCTTTTTCTGTTTTCTTTCTACCCTTTATGTTGCGACAGAGACTGACCTCTCATTTTCTGACCATCTTGAAAAGGTGTCATTCACTTCTTTCTGTTTCCCACCTACACATTTGTGACTGTAGCGCACGAGCAGACATTAAGTGATAGACTACTCGACTATAGGACTCGGTTTTACCTTTCTTTATGTGCAGACCATGACGAACGGACTCTTCGGGAGCGATCACCTTCCTTAGATGGGATTCCATTATTTCCTTTAGCAAAAAAAGTTATTTTCTTTTCTACTTTTGACTGTATCCATATATTTTGTCAGAGAATGCATATAGGAATGAAACTATATGTATTTTGCAAGCCAAACTTTCACCTAGAACTTACGATAACAGCTCCTTTGAGCGAATTGTCCTAATGACAACTGAGTGACTGTAAGTATTAGTCACGGATGTTCTATAAGCATAGACAACTAATTTCTTAATTGCGAGTCTATGAAACACTGCAAGTCAGTCCATCACTTCAGGGAAGTGCATTACTTTTTACATATTGCAAGTACTCAGTGTTACAGGCCTATGGTCTTTCACATGTCACGCACGTGATCATCATTCATCAACATATTAAGAGTTTGCAGCAAGCTTTGTGATTTACGCGGCTTTTACATTGAGAAAAAAATTATTTTCTTCTGTTCTTTTGACTGTGTCCATATGTGTTTTCTGTGTACGCTTTTTTTGTACGTTGATTCTATGTTTGCCTTCTCATACAAATTAAATATTGCAAAGTCTTTATTTAAAAATTCCAGTGACTGCATGTTGAAAAAACCAACATTAATAAAAACAAAAGAAAATTTAAAAAATTTCGTTTTTCCTTATGTAAATGGTCTATTCTGTACCAGAAAGCAAAACAAATTCTGATGATAATCTATCAACTCGTGACGTTTCACCCAAAAAATACGCGGCTTTCGTAACAGAACAGTTATGTGCCAAGCCCATTTTAAGACGCTCTTTACAGGGCTTTCGTATGCACATTTTCAAACGGCTTTCGTATCAGGTATGGCTATACTTTAAAGTCTCAGTGCATGGCTTTCGCAACCAAGAGTGCTGACTCTTTCACAGAGAAAAGGAACGGTAGAATCATGTATGAACAGCCACTCACTAACAAGAAAACAGATTTCCTTTACCTAAATTTTTGTCATTAGTCGTTGCATTATATTCATGAATAATTTGTTCCAACTTTATCCCTTTGGATAAGATAGACGTATCGAAATAAATGTACGGATAACCATCATGA